CACGGTTGGTGGGGTATGATGAATTGAGGGGGACGGGGATCAGGGTGCCTAGTGATGGGTTGGCGGTTGCGGCACCTACCTTGGATGTTGGTGGTCCTGGTGGAGAACGGAATCAGGAGGAATCAGAATCACAGCTGGGATTAAGACAGCCACAACTAGGACCGCAGTCAGGGACCGGGCAGCGCTAGGACTCGAAACCGTCATCTGCATGTGCAGCTCGCGCGAAAAAGGGTTTCATTTCCAGTCTGAGGGACTGTCCAAGCTTGGGTTGTGTCTCCAAGAAGAGGTGACGTTGCCTGCTGCTAATAACCCTCGCGCTGTTTACTTGGAGATTGAGACGTTGGAGATCAAGCACTTGTTGACGCCGGTTGGGAGGGCTGCTGTTGAAATGGTTTGGTTGGGGTGTTTGGCTATCACTAGTTTTGGGCCGTATTGAGGTGGGAGGGGGTAAGGAGTGTTTTTTTCCCTTGTATCTTTCTGTATCGGCATTCCAGGGGCTGGAGTTATTTATTTCCCCCTTCACCCGCATCTTCCTTTCTCATTCCATCTGAATCCTTATATCCTTGTCCTGAGTATAGTCCTGATTTCTTCATCTTTGATCATCCCTTCAAACTGTCTCCATATACAATCTCACCGCATCATCATACCACGATTTCCCTAGATTTTTAGTTGTATACTATCATACAGTCACTATGGCTATGGCTAAGCATTCATTCAGTTTTGTTTTGTTTCTTGATTCTGAGTGCATACTTATATTGGTATTTTTCGTGCTCACCTACTTACATAGTACTTTGCGGTGCTGGAGGTTGTCTGCGGGGCTGTTATGGTGCTGGAGGTCGTCTGCAATACCGCCCTTTTGAAGACTATGGATGACGCTTTTGATGATGATGTATTTAATTACTTGTATGCTTACTTGGTTGTTTTTTGTATCCATGGAATGGATGGAGCGAATCTTGCGATGCGATCGAGGTTGTTTGTATGTTTTCATGTTGTTCTGAATCAATTATTCAATGATAGCTTGCCCTGAAGAATGATGTCAACCGTGGGAGATCTGCGCATGTATATGAGTACCTTGCTTGCTCGTCGTTCTTTGTACTTCTTGTTCCTTTATGAACTACCATGATGTCGTTTCCAGACACGAAAGTGACTGGGTTCATATGTTAATTTAATCCAGTTACTTTCGTGTCTCGTCGCTTCGCCACAATTTCGAGTTTGACTAGGTGCTTGCTCCCCATTTTTACGCTTCTTTAGCATCATGTTATGCACCATCTTCATGAATGTTATTCTCCTCCGAGACACGAACATGCTTCGATATCTGAGGACGTGTTCACAAAGATCAAATACTCCTGTGTCTTATTCATGCGCCTATCAAGATGTCGTGCCGTCCTTTGTAATCTCGAGTTGGACTTTTGGCGTCTGGAAGTTTGGGTGCTTGTTTGCCATTTCTAATTTTATTGGTCTAACGTTCCCGAAGACCCAAAGTGTGTGGACTTCTGCTAGTATCAGTCAACATCGAAGGATCAAACACTTTTGTGTCTTGTTTATGCGTCCAACTTGCCGTCGCAGCTGAAGCCTTGATGCACTGATGTTCCAGATGATGACGAAGCCTTTAATTCTTAGACTACTGAGGTTGGCAGTGCTCAACTTAAGTACTACTCACTACCATGACACTGTCGCCTCTTTCATCTCGTTCCACACGCAGCATGCAAAACGCCTAGTGTATTCTCAATTGTACTGTCCGTCAGAGCGACAGAACTTGATTGGCGGGGAAACATCTTGGTTTAATCAAGACGACGAAGGTCACGGGCAATCGCCAAAGCTGTCTATGATGCTGGTGATGATACAAATGTAGAATGCAGATAAGTGTCTAAACTCTATGGTGAGTGCTCCAAATGACTCCGAATAAGGATATTAAATATTTTGATGAACCACTCCGAGGGGCACATCGGATCTCCCCCTCTAAATTCGACCGAATTCCCATTCCTCCAGCAGGCAGCACATCTTCGTTTGAAGGTCGCATTGTCTAAACTGCCAGCTGATCTCAAAACGTTGGCGGCGGAGGTAGCGGAGACATTCCCATACCCAGTTCTGGGAGTTCCATCGGGGGTCGTGACGTGTGATTGGCACGCTTGCGAGGTGCCTCTCTAACAAAGCCAGCTGATGGGTGGCCACTCTTCCAACAGTAAAACTTCCGCGCCAGTCATTGGGGTTTACGTGTGGCTGATTGCGTTTGAACTCTATGGTGTAGGTATCTGTATTTCCCAGGATGTGGTACGTATTCCCGATACCAGGACCAGTCGGGATGTAGATAACCCAGTGAAGGGGATAAGGCCGAAGGTACTCTTTCTGGCCTTGCCAAAACTGGACGACTTCGACGTTATAGTACGTAGCTGGGGCAGACATATTAGAGGGTGGCTATGGGTCTAGGTCAACTCCGGTTCGCTGAGTTTTTATTCGGTATACTCACCAAGAGGGCAGGCGACGGAGAGGTGAAGGATGGGTGAGTTTGAGTTTTGAGCTCATCGATTACCTGGATTTATATCCAAGCAGTTGTGGAGTTTGGTTTCGGGAACAACGAAATGTGGACGCGACATTGAACGCGACATGTCCACTTTCTCTCGAAGAGAATGTGTCGTGCGCTTTGGGGTCTGCTTTGATGGACCACGGATTGTATTTCCAGATCGAGCGATCCACGATGACTCCGCCGCATTCACCATGCTAGGGCTTTGACCCCGGTCACTATTGTCGATCATCCTGTGGTGGAACGCATCAAAGATTAACGTGATTTAGCAAGTGTTCTAGGCTGTTCTAGGCTTCTAGAAACAGACTTCGTGCGGTGGCTCGTTGGAGTTCTTTGTTATGTCTTGTCAATCAATCACTTGAATTAAAGGATCGAACTACTCAGACATTCATTTGAACAGTTTTAGGCGGCAGGAGGAACTCACACAATTCTGTCAGACATTAGCTGTAGTACGAGAATCCTCTTTCAAAAAAACTACATATATGATACATGCAATATACATACCAAGGACTCCTTGCACATGTTAGAGTCCGATGCGAACTTTTTATGTCGACACCATAGGGTAAAAGTCGGCCACTGCAAATGTAAAATCGAGGAATGAGTACTAGGTTTTCGTAGAAGAGAGACACGATCTGACATGCACCAACATCGTCCGAAAGCTGAATCGCTTGAACTCTTCACCAGTGTCACCGGATACAGAAAGATCATCGATCATCTAGCGCACTTGATAGTGTATTGCGCAATCTGTTTAAGTTCGCTCTGGGGTGTCGTATTTTCTGGGCTAAATGGAATGATTTTCGAGCGTATATAGTCAACCAAACGGAATGAAAACCTAGGAATATCACAAAGGATTCCCTCGACCTCTTATCTTTTTGTGTCTCGTTTTTTCGAAAGACGCCGAAACACAGCGATAAAATCGACGGCCTCTGGTCTATTCGTCCTATATCTTCACGTATCAGCCATATTCTTGTCTATTTTCACTGGGACTGAAGGACAAACGTGGGGTAAGCCTGAGGAATGAAAAAGCTCAGACTAGGAACGGAAACGGGACTAAGTGGTGTGATAGTCAGGAAAATGTACGTAGAACTGTGAATAAGAGAGCTCACCTCAGTCTTGGATCAAAAGACTGAGGGAGACCATTCGACGGGGAGAGGAATCAATACGCTCAGGCTGATTGAACGTGTATGAGGTGTGTAACGAGGAATGATCGCATATGTAAAAGAAAAGGATGAGTACGTACGAGAGTCACGTCTTGATGATATGATCATAAGGCGAATGAATTCTATTACAATATAAGCGATACGTCCGTGACTCCGATTTGTGCAAGTTGCGTTGTGCTGAGGGGCCACGGATAAAACACCCTGTATGGAAGGGAGGTCACCGTCGACTCGACCCACTTGGGGCAGCTAAGTCTCTTAGGTGTCCTTTCCATATGCGCTCTCTCAGAGCTCGTCAGTGTCAGACTGCGGGCAGCGAAGTTGGATGAAAACACGGCGCACGGATGATTTTTTCACTTACCCAACGTAGGTCTTCTTCCAGCTGCTCAACGTCCATTGGTGAAATGGCAAATACGCGACTAAGCATGCTAAGAGATCTTGAGAGATATTTAATTATTAGGGGAGCTCGAAGTTAAACGCCCAATGCTCAGCGCTCAAGCCCAACGCCCAACTTGAACGCTTGAACACCCGACCTCGTGACGAGAAGTAATTTTACATAAGCCACACAACTGATGCTTGAACGTCCAAGTTGTTTCCTCAGAAGACGCACTAGCAGTACTGACAAAAATTTTTAGCTTGTTCAAATGCCCAGCGTCAAAAGCCCGTATATATTTTCGTGTCTTGTTCGTGCATCTAACTTCAAGTCGCATCGCGTCGCAGCTGCAGTCCAAGCTTGAAAACTTGAAGTTCTACTGGCAGATTCATCGCTGTCAACTTCTCGGATCGCAAGTACTTCACCCCGACACATACGCAAGCGATGCGAAGGGTTGGGACGTCATCTTGTCACGTGTCGTTTCTGTCTGTCAGAGCAGCAGAAATCGAGTGGCTCTTGAATTTTGATCCAGTCAGGACAACGAAGGCTACTCACGAGCGCCCAAGACGCCTATTACGCCAATGATAATACACATCCAGAATGCAAATGTCTTAAATTTATGGTGAGCGCTCCCTCCGAATAAAAATATTAAATATTTACCCACCACTTGGGAACACCAAATCTCCACCACCTCTAAATTCGACCGAATTCCCAATCCTCCCGCAGGCAGCACATCTTTGTTTGAAGGTCGCACTGTCTAAGCTCCCAGCTGATCTCAAAACGTTGGTGGCGGAGGTGGCGGAGACAATCCCACACCCAATTCTGGCTATTCCATCGGGGGTCGTTATACGTGATTGGGACGCTCGCGAGGTGCCTCTCAAACAGGGCCAGCTTATTCGCAGCCACTCTCCCCATGGTGTGGCTTCCGCGCCAGTCATCAGGGTTTACGTGTGGCTGGTTACGCCTGCACTCCACAGCGTAGGTCTCCGTGTCTCCCACGAGGTGGTACGTGTTTCCGATACCGGGATCGGTTGGGAGGTAGATGACCCAATGAAGGGGATGGGGGTGAAAGCACTCTATCTGGCCTCGCCAAAACTGGACGACTTCGACGTTATAGTACGTTTGTTGGGAAGACATTAAGATATGGCTATGAGACTGGGTCAGTTGCAGTCCGCTGAGCTTTTGATTCCGTGTGCTTACCGAAACAGCAAATGACAGATCAAACACGGTTGGGCTTGAGGTTTGAGTCTACCGATTGCCTGGATTTATATTCAAGCCGTTGTGGATTTTTGTTTTAGGAACATTTTCAAAGTGTGGATGCAACATCAAACGCGACATGTCCACTGTTGTTCAAAGAGAGTATAGTGTGTGGTGTGGGTGGACCACTAATCGCCTTTCCCGACGAGCCACATCTGACACAATAATTAATTTAAAGTTGAAACGCAGGTGGATGCTCCTGAGAGCTAGGCCGCAAGTTCATACCTTCCTTTAATTCCACTTGCTATTGGCAATCATCACATGATGGGTTAGATCAACAATCAACATGATACATCTGTGATTCATTGTATTGCACGCAAGTGTTCTGGAGCTCTGAGATTATGGAAGTGGTCCTCGAGGGATATTACCGGCTCATTGGAACTCATAACATTGTTCGACTTGCCAATGTGGGGATCAGTTATAACACCCAGACCGTGTTGGTCCAGTGGAGAGTTACGGTGCAGAAGAGTCCATTGTCCCTAGTGTTGTCTTTGCGTTTTTGACTTGCAAGAAAATTACTTGGCATATACAACATACACAAGGATTCCGCATACCGATACGTGTGCTAAACTCAGACGCGAACGCGAACACTGAATGCCTATGAGGTCACCAACTAGTCTTTTGATGCCTAGTCATGGAATATGCAGTCTTATAAGGGTTCTACACGCATTAATACTGTGTCGTCCGAAAACAAACTCTACTTGAACAATAGGTAGTATACATGAGATGATGCGCAGGGATCAGTTCGCCCCGCAGATAGATAATTCTCTCATTTCCTGTAAGACCGCCTCGACCTAACCACCACCGATGAGCAAAGAACATACTCGTAACAGCTGATTATACCTGTGCATCCAGCTGACCTGCAGCATAATCATCCCGCACATTGTCTGCAAAATACCTGATCATAGCATAAGTCAGATCCCCGCCCATCATTTCCCAAACCCCCAACTCACCTCTGTACAGCGCTCATCTTCTCATATCCTTCCTCAGCAAACTTACATTGCATGCGAATCATAGCCTCAAAACTGGGATCAAAATACGGTATACGCAGATCCAAGAGCTGCGGGAGCTCCGAGATGAGTTGATCGTTCATGAGCTCGAAAACCTCTTTCGCATCGTCGTGTTCTTGTTGTGCTTTTGGAAGCTTTGTAGGATCTTCACTCGGTTTCTCGATCGTCTTTCGTAGTTTGCTACGTGCAGCGTCGAAGTCCAGGAGCTAAGAAACCGTTTAGTCGAGTCGCTGAGGCCACCGATCAAGAGCAAGGAGCATCACCTTCTTATTCCGTTTGGTGATATGCTCGTTAACAACGGGGAAGTATGCGTTCATCTTTCCGAGGGGTTCCATGATGGTCGTGCGATAAGGACCTTCCTATAGAAGATAATAAATAAATGGAATCAACAGAAGCAAGTATCACTTACAAGTTCCCTTTGAATACCGCTATCGAGCTCCTCCACTGCACTCGTGAAAGCATGACTTGCCATAGCACCATCTGATGTGCGATCTGCAGCGCCGTAGAAAGTCTCGACGGTCTCAGCTAACCGCGCCTGTGTGGTTGTCATCGCTGCGGCACTATTTCAACATGTTGCATGACATAACGAGGCCAGATAACTTACAGCGCATGGCATCCTGATATTGCTTGGCGTCCCTCTGTAACGCCTGACACTCCTTCTCGAAGCTGGACCAAGTCAAATAACAAGGAGACGGACTGCGGATGCACGTACGCTCTGTACTTGGCCTCTTCATCCGCAAATTCACGGTCTATCGTGCGTTCGATCTGTCCGGTCTTTTGTAAGACCTGAATGGTTGAAACGAGTCATGGGTGCTCCGCGTAGGATCGAAGATGTGTTCCTACCGTGGTACCCGCCCTATTCAGCGACTTCTTGAACCTAGTGGATATCAGACCTCAGTGAGCTACATCGAGATGGGAAACAGACCCTGTCCAGCTCATGGTACTTAGTGATATCACTCCGAAGAGGTCGTTGGAGTGACAAGTGGTGTTGATCAAGTTGGATACTCCGAAGCGCGCCCGTCTTGGTCCAGGCACCACTTCATAATGGCTTACGTAAATCACGATTGTACCACGACAAGACTTGGAATAAATCAAAACAAATTCTCTCCCTACACACTACCCGCTTATTGAAGGTGAAACTAAAGACGAAGTCTAGTGGAAAATTAATTTATATAAGAGAGAGCCGGCGTGCATGATAGACGAGAAACATACCTCAGCGTCCGAGAAGAACTGCTGAGGTAGAGCTTATAAGGTGGTTTACGTAAAGGTCCGTGATGACAAATGAGAGAAGTAAGGAGAAAACGACGTTGTACATCCAACACCACTCATCGTAAATTAATCACATCGAGCATCTCCAATGTCACACACTGCTGCTAGTTGATACACGGACGTGCTTCTGGAAGGTAATCGGAACCATAGCGATTGTTGTATCGGAGTCGGCTAGGAGCTCAGCACGATATTCCCGAACGCTAAGGACCAGGCGTGGTCCCAGCACAAACAACTGCACGAATTGAAAGATTTGAGCGAAACCAAGAAAAACCTCAGTTTCCAGGGAATCTAGGTTCTAATGGAAATAATGAATTATGGCTGCATCCAGAGGTCGACGACAAATCAGCATACCGCTGAGAGCGTCGGAGAAGAAAACCCGACGTAGAAACAAGAAACTGCAAGAAAGCTGGCACGTGCAGAATTTCAGCGGAAAAGAGAACCGCCTTCACATTATGAACTCACCTCGCAAAGTAACTCACGTGAGTTTTCATTAGCACCGTGAAACAGTCCCTGAAAATACTACTCGGTGAGTGTTGTCGCAGTTCACGCAAGTGCTTCACAGCAATTCGGACTGCGAGATACAGCAGAAGGACCTCCCATGCAATGGCGAGTATCCAAGTGATGGTATACAGAAGTATAGTATCTCCCACGTAGCCGATCTTGCATTCATAGGTGCCGGAGAGAACGACTTCCTCTGGTATTTGTCAATAAGCCGGATGCGACCAAGTATTTCGTCCGCGATTAAAGCTTACCCACTGGAATATGCATCATGGATATCGCGGCCATCACTGCGTTGGCGATTCTAATGGCCAGAAAGATGACAACGAGAAATACCAGCACCTTTCTGGATCGCTGATACATGGCATTCAGCCGAGCGATCATGATGACTTGCTTGATGTCATGGTGAAGTCAATATCACAGAGGTGCATCGCTCACCACCCAGCATTACATTTACAACCTCATTCGTGCTTTCCAAAGTAACATACATGATACGGCCTGAAAAATCCAGCAACATTAGTTATTAGCCTCGGAGGATCACACGCTCAAAATAGACTCACAACTGTAGCAGTTATTATATTGAACCAAGTTGTTTGAGAATCTCACTCACCCCTACATGGTAGTTTAATTGCTTAAGTGGGAATGGAAACCATCGGTGCAGAACACTCACCGAATCTGTGATTGAAATTGTCGGAACATTGACTGTATATCACCAGTCAGAAGAAACAAACACGGTGAATGTGAGGTGGCATACTCAGCATCTTGAGGCTGATTGTGAGAGATCGCTGATGAGTACAATGCCAATTTTCTAGCCTTTCAGACATACATAACATATACTATTCCAACATAGCGTACCTAGGATGTGTTCACGTCAGTGTGACTTGCTAAGTATATTTAAATATAAGCTACATACACTGAGATACAGAATGGTCATCAAGGACCAGCGTCGCCTCTGCTGCCGATTAGATATAATTTTACGTCATTCTTTTGATGTCGGAATCTACTCACCCAGAACAGTTCGACCTATTAAATCATTCTCAGCGAGATGGCTACCCCAGGAATGAATCGACCTACCTCTTGTCCAAAGGTAAGCGCTGAGAATACCATAAGGATGTCAGCGGTTCTTTTATACTCAGACTTGCTCACCCCAATCGTAGATTATCCCAACAGAGGCGGCAACTGTGCAACCGCGGTCAAGGTTAATCAAATTGTCATCATCCGTATGTCTTTCCACGAACCTGTAAAGTAGCCGAAAATATAATGGGAGTTGATATCCGAGACTAGGGTCATACTGTTGGAGGATGGGAGTGAAGGAGCGGCGGCGAACTTGGTGGATATATGACGATCGTATCCGTGATTCAGCTGATATACCACCATCCAGTGCTTGAGTTGCCGAAGTGACGTTTAATGGATGATATCTGATTGACCGAAGTAAGTATTTCAGCATGAACTAAAGGAGGAAGGGAATATGCATCCAGAGAACAGTACCGATGCGGAGTCAAAGTGGGAGTGAATCGCAGGGCAGTGTTGGACGTACTGCGGGCCAACCCACTGATGTGACACTTTCATTAATCCAACACAGGTTTGAAGACCTCGTGGCAGACATTCCCTTAAAGGTCAGCGCTTCAGCAACGTTCTCTGACCTCTTACGAGAGAAAAAATACAACCTCAAGTTCATGTACACGCTGCCAGTGATTAGTACAGATGCGGGTAAAAGTACATACATTCGTCGTATCCAACTCCCTGCCATAGAACACGATTGACATGCGTAGTGACAAGGGCAGTCTCACAGAGAAAGCGGGGAGGCGGAGCGGTTGTACAAAAGAGCCTTATCTATAGGAGTCTTACAAGAAAGAACAGATTAATCCAGATGGCCGGGCATGGCTAACGTTGTGGAAATTTATAAAGAGCGACTCGAGGAAACTCCGGTTCTAAAAATGTTCACGTAAGTCAAATGTAAGTAAGTATGACCGCGGGAATAGATCGGGACCTCCCGAAGCGATCAATGGATATTGATGAACGTTGATGAACCCGTATGAACCTTCCAAACCACATGCCTTTTGTGAAATATAGATACATTAATTGGTCCGTAGTTTGGAAAGCATTTCTGGATTGCGACGAGGTACGAGACGATACCCCGACTTTTGGATCAAAATCTAGGATTCTAGATGCTGCAGAAAATCACCCAATATAGCCCCAGTGACTACTGATCCAGCCATCTTACTAGGACACAAGAAATCCGACGAGCACAGTGCACGTGTATCCGTCCGGCGATAATCAGATGCCTGTCGGTATCAATTCCTTGAAACATTATACACAGCCTATCATGATACCTTGGCAGATAACCTGGACACTGTGGTTCTTCCCTGACGATCAGAATTCCATATACTGTGACGGCCTTTGCTAAGTGTCAGTTCTCTTACATCCAGTGCTGGTGTGGGAAGTTGAACCAATCAATTTCAGCGGTTTGAGTGTTGTACCCATGAGCCTCAATTTGCATAATACTGGATCTTAATGATTTGATGCATGAATTTCAACGGATCACCAGAAAATTAAAACAATAGAATTTGATAGTTAGGCCAATGAATTTTGATGGCGGGGGGTGTGAATTTCATTGGCTCATCAATCAGAATCCACTTAACATGTATAGAAAGATACAACAGACGAAGGCAGGTTAGTCCAATCAGTCGGAGCCACTAGCATGAACAGCATCGTCCGTCCTAACATCAGCCTCGAGTTCCAACTCCACAAATGTGATCTGTCAGATGTGGTCGGGGGCGCGTTCAGTGATGCCCCAGCGCCTTCGTGTGCCTACACGCCCAACAATATTCCAAAGGTCCGTTATAATTGGAATCAGTAATCGCTTGTACTCGATGGGCTAAGAAGATGGATCTAGCCCGTCTGTTGCACATGAAATGAGAGTAAGTAACAGTGTTAAGTTACGCAGGTCACCATAACGTTTGCTGTCGTTAAGGTGACACTCGAGGATGTAATTCAGTTGACCACAGCAAATTACAGCAACATGCTGATCCGATGCCGAGATGTAAGGCACCTCGTACTGGGCAAGAAAGATCTGGTCAGAAGGTTACCCTTCCTCCAGTGCTCATCAGAACTCACCCGCACAAATGTACAATCTCTAAATGAGAGTTTGCTTTAATTTTAAGGTTGGGGTCAATGCGCAAGCCGAGTCTCTATATCAATTGACATGGAGTTGCCCTAGCCTAGAGACATTGTGCGTGGAAGTGCAATGATCAGTTGGTCCTTCCGCCCGTCAATGACTGAGTGAATGTAAGCACGCTACCTGAATATTCATAAGGGGGTGACGAGCCGTTTTCCCCTGTTCAGCAGAGCTCATCACTGACACGGATTGACTGGGTGTCATGGGTGTGCTTATCCGCAGGTTGGTAGATGCTTGCGACGCTTTGACGTTCAAAATATAGTCCGCGTTCTGTAAAGTTTCCATAATGCCATGCCAGCTCTCTCCTAGGCTGCTGCGAGGAAGAGGGCAAAAGATACCAACACTTTGAGACATGCTAGATTTCACTCGAAAAGTCCCCTGGAACTCGGATAGGTGCCGTCAACCTGTAAAGAAAGCTGACGTTTGGAGCATCGGAGGTTCAACGTAGGGCTCCCGACTGGACACTACTCACGAAGGTATCGCAAAATTGGAAAGCAAGTTGAACAATGCGTCGCGCAACATTCGTCAAAAGCTTGATAGCTGCTAAGAACGTCTATGAGGAGCTCGCCTGACAGATTTGTTGAGATGATGATGAAAGAAAGGGCTACAAGAAGCGCAAGCCAGCCCTTCTCAACTATAGAATATACGATGATGAGGTACTGGGTTGCAAAATCCGTCATGCAGGAGTGCGGAGAGGTTAAGACCGGCACAGGCTCGCCAGTCGCTCGGGGATGTTGAACCATGATGTAAATGTATGCTTTAGGGATTGGTGGGGAGTCCGCTTTGTCTGATTCATCGACACTAGTTAGGCTCAGGATGATTCACAAGATGTGAAATGGGAACTGTACAGTTGGAGCTTTATGGCCGTCATTTATAAGTTCACCATGTTGAATGAGTCCCCTGTAGTCAGACCTTGATATAGAACTGATCATGCGCATGAGTACTGCAGTTGAATACTAACGAGTAGGACTGATCACCTACAAATTAACGACAGGCACTTGGACTGTGGGGCTCATCGTACTTCGGCATTCCTCGCTCGCAAGCGTATATACCCACAGTGTTCAGCGCAATTCCAGCTCACCCGGGAGTACATAGTCTATTAGAGCTTCTCCGGACTCTATGATGTCCCCTGGTGTTTTTAATCATGTCTCGTCTCCTGTGATAGCCAATGTTTCCTCTCGCTAAGTGGCTACCTTGTATGCCACGGACCCCATAAACGGGCCTGATATTTCATCGCCGCTGCCAACCCCATCTCCTAAAACTCCGCTTGAGGAAAGTGTTAGCAGGGCGAACGACTCGAACTCCAGGTCTTGGACGGACAACCAAGACGGGATAGTCCTGGTCAAAACGTGACCACGTCACTCCGCGCCTTCTCAAACTCATTATTAAACCCCATCCCGCCCTCATCTACCAATCCAATTCACAAACCTGCACACCTTCATTCTATCTGCATCCTGTTCACTCGACTCAAAATGCAACTCTGCTCCATCACATGCACATTTCACCCCTACGTTGACCTTACCTTCCACCTCATCAACTCCAGGTTCGTCTAATTATAACGCTTCATCCACGCTCACGCCAAACGACACACCCAAGCCAACAGATACGCGAGACGCCTGCCCACATGAGTGCCGTCCAGAACAACTTGTAGACTCAAAATACAGCGTGCAGCCTGAACCTGTTCTCTCTGAGCTACGCCAACCAACTCCCTCGGATCTGACATGCCTCAATGCTGATTACCTGGACCAGTATGAAGATCTCCGCACTGAAGACTCCCGCGAATAAACACCTGCAGATTCCCTCTTTCGAGATGAAAGGCCGTCGCCGCAGCGCTCACAGCCCTATTTCCTTCAGCAGAGACTGGATCCTCGCCCTCTGCCAACCTCCCTAAAAGGTTCGTCTGTGTGTTTACCTTCACAGCCAAAATCTGAGGCGTCATGTCTAGGAGTCCAGGACCCAGAAGACAGCCCTCTTTCACAGGAACCAACGGAGATTCTTGATGGCAGGGACGATATTTTTCTACGACGTTTATCGATTCCATGAACACCTACACCGATGGAGCCACGTCTCCTCTGAGAAGTACGTGTACTGAGGACCTTGTGGAGCAAGAACCTGCAGAGACGCATGTAGAGCACGAACCTACGGTGATAATTGATCATCAAGTACATTTCGAATCGAAATCACTAGCATCTGCCGAATTTTCAGCCCCATTTGAACACACGGGTTCCGTCCGCTCTCCCCTACCTTCACTGCCGCACCCCCCGTACTCCGCAGAGGCATTTCCTTTCGATATACGGGATGTTGGCATGTCCTTTGCTACTGCGACTGCTTGGTTCTGGGATTGCTGACCTCAATGTCATCGGCATCCACATCATGAAACCTGTTCTTCTCGCCCCTGATAGTGCATTTCACATGGGCGGCCTTGTGATTTTAATATGAAAGACTTGGTACGGGTTCCTATGGTTCAGGCGCCTGAATGTCCTCATCGCATCCATATCACGATCAGGCTACCTAATTATACTAGTTCATAGTGTATCAATTTCAGCGTTTGATTCAACTATTTCTTATCTGATGGGCTTGTGCCTGACTTTCACATGGGCGGAGAAGCAGTCGGTCAACTGACACCTTAGATCAAATGCTACAGATGAGGACGCGTTGCTCATTCACGCCTTGTCTCTTTTCCCCACCTCCTGCCCCCACTAATCCTATTCCACGTGATCATAATGAATAGGGTTAGGGTCCGTTCCAGGACGGGTCATGTGATCATACTCATCGTGCTTTGTCCCAGGTTCCCAGAACTCGTCCCACTGTATTGCTAGTTCTACCCTCCTTGTGTAGTAACTGCCTTCGGTATAATTGGCTCGTTCGTTCCTGGGAGGTATGTGATATATTCTCTGAAATTCATAGGATTAACAAGCATCATGTTAGCAGAGAATGTACATTTCCGCGTTACTATGAATGTCCTGCCTGCTCAAGCTTTATCTGCGCCTTCCAAGCGCATATTGTCATCCAGCAAAGAGATATGCACTCTACGGCGCAGCAACTTATCTCCGACCACACTGGAAGCACTACAAGTCCCGAAGTTTATGTGCAAGCAAGACCGCCTTAATTTAGAGGACCTGGTGGCTGATGAGCAGGACTACACAATATCTGGACCTGAGACTCCCAGAGCAGTTGACGAGCTAATGGCTGCTGGCGTTCTTCGCGAGCTTGACGAGTTGCTCAGAATGTAAGGGACATTGATTGTAACGAGTATATCTGCTGGTCGTGTACTAGTATTTTGCAAATAATCATCGTTGTCGGCATGCAGAATCCCTAGCTTCTCATTGGTTGGACTACCTGTTTGTATCACTCCCGAACTCGTTTCCGCATCACGAGTTGAATGAGGTACGCTTCGTTTCAACTCGTTAGTCTGAACTGTGTTGATTTACCAGAATTTTCCATCTCGATTCGTTTCGCCTCGGCAACACTAGACAAACACGAAAAAAATGGCATATAGCATAGAGAACATGAGACGACTGCAAGACATGAAGGGATAAACTTGAGAGAAAAGATCAAACCTTACGAATACCAGGTTTCCCTATTTCGCGATGCGTTCCTCCAAGGGCCTCGGTGGCAATGGCTGTTGTGGGCGACCTCGGCTACTGGCACTACCTCTTCCTCTCTCAATGTCACCTTTACTGCGCCCCCAACCGCGGTTGGTGTTTCCACGTCCTCCTGGTGTCTAGAAATGTGTTAGCTCCTTACTTCAGGCCCTACGCAGAGAACCTACTGAAAGTCGCCCTAGAAGTGAGGGCTCGTCGCCACGAGGATCGCGCTCTTCACGGCGAGTGGAACGCTCTTCCTTGCTGTATCCCGAATCGGAGGGACGCCGGACATCTGCAGCGTTGGTGTAATCCGGCCTGTAACTGCCCTCATGCCGCCCACGCTTATCAAGTGCATCCCGGTCACTGTACGGCCTAATTTGACGGGAGGGTGAGGGTGACCGTAGTCGATCGTGAATTGAGCTGCGCAACTCTGGTGAGGTAGAACGACCCCTTCGCCACTCCGTTTCTGCAACAGGGGAGCGACGGGCAAGTCCACGAGGATTCCGATAGTCTCGTTCTGGTACATAATGATCGCCTCGTGGTCGACGGCGATCACGATTCTCATCTTCATTGTCGTGCTCCGCCGGCCTCTTTCTGCCACTGTTCATCGGCGAAATTGGACGGGGAGGAATGGGGAGCCTGTAAGCTCTGGCCTCGTTCTGTTCGAGGTGCCGATGATGAGATGACGTCGCAGATGTAGGAGGGGGGGAATAGTGGTCCGGATAACGAGGAGCCCACTGCTGACGCTGACTACGAGACTCGCCGCTGGTACCATTACTGCGGACGAAACCCGAGGGTTCCGGGGATCTAGTTTGTCCGCTAATCTGAGAGTTCTGTCGAGAGCGTTGGTTGGGATCGTAATGAGAGACAGATTCCGATGACTCAGAATGAGGGGATATGGCATCTGGAGTCCATTGCTGACGGGCCACAGAGGCATCCATGACCCAGGGATCTGGGCTGTTTCGAATTGGTGCGGGCCCTGTCACAGACCCTGATGTACCTGCTGAACCAACTCGAGCATTGGAGCGCAAAAATGCACTTGGCACTTGACCGATGACGAGTTCGACGGAAGTTTGAGGGATATCGTTCGTTTGAGAAGCATTGATGTTCGAAATTTTGAACGGCAGATTGTCGTTTGGAATGTGAACTATGACATCCGCAGATCGGGCGGATGCTCCTTCCTCAGGGAGACTGCTAGTCTGTTCTTGATCACGCGACTCCTCGACCACCACTTCTTCTGTTTTTATCATCTTGATAGGAAGCGAGTCGTCAGGTCGCTTTACGCTCCGATCTCCAGCAGCACTCTTCTCGACGCGTCTATTCTTCTTGATGTGTCGCAAATTCGCGTCTCTCTGAGCTGGTGAGACATTCGCCTGTTGACCAACAGTCCATTCAGTCCACTTGTTGGTATCGCTACCGAGGATGGTACGTGACTTGGGAGTACTGGGCAACGCGATCTTTTTGGAACTCGGCAGTGGCTCATTTGATAGGGGAGAGACGGACGAATGCAGAGAGAACTCAGAAGCCAATTGAGTCGAAAACAAAGGTGCATCTGTAATCACTCGTCTCCCGACGTCAGTAGAAGCCGACACAAACGAGGGTGTCTTATAGGAGGCTGGGGCAGTTGATGATGATGTGGGTGTTGACATTGATGATGAAGGGGGACCATCCGAGGTTGACAGTGCGCCAAGCATAACGTTGCCGGAAGTTCCCTGAGAATGAGAGGTCTTCTTTGCTCGCGAAGCAGGCTTCTTTGGTGCGCTGCCTTTTTGACCCGGCAACAGGACAGTACGTTCGAGCGGTGATGCTAATTCATCGACCTCTACCTCCACATTCATACCTTCTATGTTACCACCATCGGTCGTGGAAATCACCAAGTGTCCAGCACGCCCAGCACGGACGCGAACAGCCTTTTCCAGAGCGGTCTGCTGAGCGAGGAGCTCTCTGTGTCGCAGTTTTTGTTCTTCATCAGCCCGCTTTTCAGCCTCTTCGGCCTGGACCCTTTGCTTCTTTGCTTCCTCTTCGACCCGCCGACGCTCTGCTTCAGCGGCCTGCAAACGCGTCTCCTTCAAATGCTGGAGTGTACCGCAAGATTGACGAGTCCAGGCGATTTGCTTTTTCAGATTCTCGGTTAACTTGTGTTGGTAAACCAAAGAGTTGTTATGGTTATCGACCGCCTTAATCTCTTCTTCAGTCATACCATCCTCCTTCTCAACACGAGGCTCGATATCAGCAGAAAGCTGGAGGGGCGATGCATTATTTTGAGCCAGAGCCCTGTCTCTCTCGGTACGCTCTTTCTCTGCTTCCCACTGTGTCTTCTCAGCTTTTACGTCTTCGAGAAGCTTCATCGCTTCGGTAATTTCTTCCTGGATGGCCGTCCGTCTTGACTCGTCCTCCAACTTTCGCTGATCGTCTTGTGCACGGCGTTGAGCATCTCGAGCGCGCTGTGTTTCCGCTCGGAGTCGTGATTCCTCCTCCAGCGCCACAAGTCTCTCCTCCCTGGTGCGCAACTCCTCCCGCTGCTTCTGCAACGTTCGCATCTGAGAATTGTATTCCGCCTCCCTCGCGAGCATGTGTTCATCGAACGCCTTTCGGCGCGCATCGAAGTCCATGCGCTCTGCATCAAATACTTGGTTCGCATCGCGCTGCTGTTTGGCGGCACCCTCGGCAATGAATAGGAGCTCCTTCATGGCTTCGACCAATGGCTCAATGTGGGTGTTCTGCGAGGTTGGTATATTGGAAGGTCGCGAACTTGTCAGGGCAAGAGCGTTACCATCATCAGCTGGTAACATTTCTTGATCCAAGGGACCGTTTGAGGTGGAACTGCTCTGAGGGTACGGATGTCGAAGAACAATGACGCCAAACTCCTCCTCATTCGTTTCATTACGAAGCCCAGCAGCTAACTCGAGTATATTCGAAGGCGGTGCAAATGGGGATGGGGTCCTGAGAAGCGGTGTAGGAAGGGCAAGGGATAAAGCTTCGTTCTTTTCTAGAAGCCTGGCATGTAAAGCGGACAATGAGTCTTGTGCGACTTGCTCTTGAGATGTTTCAGGCTGCACAACGTCTGGAACTTGGCTTGAGCTGGTACCAGTCATTTTAGAATTCGAAGGAAGAGATGCTGGTAGCGTCGACGAGGGTGAACTCTGGGTTAGTTGAGGAAAGAATCCTGTGGAAGAATGTAGTTTTGGCGACCCAGACGGATGGGACGATGAGGAAATGTCACGATTGGATTGTTCAGTGGTCGGAGTTACAAGAAATGAGCCGGGGTAGACGAGTTCGGGTGTTAATGCCTCTCTGACTTCGTTGGCGGCAGCATTTGCGGGGGTTTGCATTTGCAACATGTTTGACTCGGAAGTAGTCGGGAGAACCTCGATTGGAGGAATTAAATGAGGGTTTGCAGGAACGTAACGGTTGCGCTTTATCCGTGGTGCAGGGGGCAATTCACGTGTTGGATGAAGATTTTGGGATTTTGCGGATGAGTTGAGTTGTGAATGATCCATTTGAATCCGCTCAGCCAGCTTTCGCAAATTTGGAACTGGGGCACGGGTTACTGGAGGTGGAAGATGCAACGTTGCTGGTGAGGGAGAACAAAAGGACATTTGGCCCGGATCTGGCGCAGAAATGCGACTGAGTAAATTGGGCGGTTTTCCGATGATACCGAATTGGATATCTGTAAAACTAGGTGGTGGTTGGTGAACAGGGGCCGGCATACGGACCTCATTGCCAGTCTGCGCTGACTCAGGTGCAAACTCGGCAGTTAAGAGGTGAGATGGAGAGCCGAAAATCGACTCGGACATGGTGTTGTTAGAATTGATAACGATCAATTGGTACGCTTATATATACCTGCAACACTGATATGACAATGGTAAGAACTCGGAGAGATTATCTGTGCGTACTGATCTGAAAAAGATTGCAGTCGTGTCGCTGGTAGACAAAGGTAGTCAATAGGTTGAAAGGCGTTGAACGATTCAAGCTAGTCAAAGAAAAGTATTCAGTCCAAATGGTCATGAGACAAAGAGCTTGCAATTACATACCGACCTGACGCGTGCCTACTGTATGGACCTTCGGCAGAACCCGTAACAAAGGGGTTCCTGAAATAGCCTATCTTCAAGTTGACCAACTCATCATGCGAGTAGACTATAAATTTTTTTATGTAACGGAGACTTGCCAGGGACTCATCGAGTCATTCGGTCGTATGACTGACAGTGACTGACAGGGATGGTCGTACTTGAGAGGGTGCCATCCATCTCGCTGCCCACAACTCGATTCCTGTCCATCCCCCGAGGACGGACCGTGACACCGTGCGAGCTCAGGTTCGCCATATGGCGCGGCGCGCAGAAGATGAAGCTTGAATGGACTGGATTTACCCTGTCAACTTCGAACTTTGGACGTCTATCTCATGCTCATCCATCAAGTAGGTCACCACTCCACGAGTTCAATGCTTTGGCGACCTAACAATTTGGTTGAGCCGTACAGACAACTCTGATCACGAGTTATGCGTCTCCGAGCGTAGCGCATTGAAAGTGAAACACAGGCCGGGCACCTTTGAGAACCATTTCCGATTCGATGAACTCTATCCTAATCATCAAATATCGCTTCCTGCAAGAACGCTTCGGCGACTTAAGCTCAAAGCGCATTACTATATGTACTCAAACACCACCCATAGAGATGCCGCATCTCTGTCCCTCTGTAGCTGTGGTGGGCACAGCCTTGACCTTTCCGTGAACTCCAACAGGCTCCTCACCAATCACCACTTTTATCAAGGCCAGACACAACGATCGGACTGTTCCCTATAGCCTTGCGTAACTTAGTATGGGTACAACAAATAGCTTAGAAGGCTCGGCGAACAATTTCGATCTAAGGCTGGTCATCGGTCCGACTCAAGTCTGTGGGCT